CAGAGCAGCAAAGCATAATTTGCACATTGTTGAATTTACAGTATTTAACTTTTTTGGGAGTGGAATTGATGAGAAAGAACATACCGGGCAAGTCTTGTTTTTCTTTCGTTATCTAAAGCTTTGTAAACACTAAGACAAGATCTGTCTTACAGTATCTGGACCATTAGTATTCTGATGTTGTCATATCTGACATCAGTTGTAATGGCCCCTTGACTATAAAAAGAGATACCTAAGATTTTTTTTAATTGTAATCCTGTAGGTTTTAGATTCAAATTAGACAGGTTTCACTGAATAGAAATTTCTGAAGTTTTGAATCTGCAAAGAATTTAGAATCACAGTGAAGATCAAAAGTTACACAGTATGAACCCTGTGTAGCTCATTTCTAGAAAACATAATCAGTATGTCATAAACATATAAAGGAAAAACTACAATTATCATGACAGTTGAAAATATGGGTATGATATATTTTAGTATAAGGATCTGATTAACTCATTCACCCCTGATCTTTCATAATGAACTATTCAAAGCTTTGAATTGGAAGAGTTGAAATGTGTCTTCAGGGGTGAATGAGTTAATGCATCATCTTCGAAATCCAAGAGTTTCCCTCTCTTTACACATATTGTCTCTACAGCCTTGGAATATATCATTACAAATTTGAAGGCATACATTTAGCCATTTAATTGGTGTCTGGTATAATTGCTTAGCTGATACCTGTCCTTTGAAGATTAAAGGGAAGCAACACCATCAGCTGACTTCAAAGCTGGTCAATTGATTCTTTTGATGTATACATCAAAGCATCCCAGATACTTCAGGGGTTAAGCTCACTTTCCCTCTCGGCACCCCTGGACTATGTCTTAGCAAAATCGAAGACTTTGTGCTTGATCCTATGATGAACATCAAAAGAATTTGTCGGTCGCCACTCCTCTGTAACCTTCAAAGGACAGGTATCAGTCTATTACAATTGGTCAGGTTTTTTTTTACCTGAGACCAATCAAATAGCTAGCCGCCTGCCTTTAAATTTGCTATGACATATTCCAGGTGTGCAGAGAACGAAAGTGAGCATAATCCCTGGAGTATCGAGGATGACATAAAGGTATCAAACTTTTCTATTTGTATCATCTGCAAGGCAGCACAAACAGAGCCTTCAATTTTGTAATTCAATGGGTGCCCAGAAGATATGTATAATGAGAGCAGAGCCCTTGGTTTCGAAGATGGACTAACATATCACTACGTATTTACACATAGTACAGGAAATACCACAAATATATACAAACAACAACACCGTAACAAGATCAGTAATTCTACAGCAAGACTTGATAACAATACTGACAACAGAAATGATTAAAGAGAAAATAACAAACAATGTACTTGATGTACCAACAGAGGTACGGTCAAATGTAGAGATGACCAATGGTCAAATGTAGAGATGACCAACATATTATGCCTGTAGTGCTAACCAACAACAATAAAACAGCAGCCACATTTTCACAGCATGTGGCTGTACTACACTGAAATCGTTAAAACATATAATCAAAACCCAGAATGGCCAAAGTCACTCTTCCTAAATTCATTTGCAAAATCACTGCACCATGACTGCACTGCAGCAGATTTATGTAGTCGAGGTAGAGATAGCATATCTAAAAGCTTATCATTTTATTATAAGCCTGTTCGGAAAAACGAAATGTTTCTAAAATAATCACAGTGGTTCAACTGCATTGTTTTTAAACAATAGGTACACAATCTATGTAACTGCATCATTATTTCTATTCAATCTAAGTTATTGGATCGAAAATATGATTATTGGAAAACATTTAAATGCGGTAACTTAGTGACTAGTTTTATTGGACCGGAAGTAGGCTAAAGCAGGGTTACGGTAATGGACTCCATATGATTACTGTACTCTAATTATAGTATTGGATCAAAAGCAGAATTTCTGCACTGCAGTTATGGCTACTGGACTAGAATTATTAGACTGCATGTAGAATTATTGGTCTCAGTCAGGGTATGTGCACTGCAATAAAGTCTTATAATAATATAACTTGAAAAAAGAGGTTGAAGAAATGTAGATCAGGGTCAATTATGTAAACAAACTTGATTTCCCTTTATGCCAACAAGCCACAGACTAAATATTGTGACTCCTAGCCTCCTTGGTTTGTTTGATGTAGTATGAACATGTGAATACTTTCATCTGCTGTGACCTCAAATTTACATTCAGGTCATATCTTTGAACAATGAAAAAAATACCTCACCAAAGCAAATTACCGGTTTTGTTAAAAGAAGTTATCTGAATTTGTAATACCTTTGACCCCTGTGACCTTGTATGTGTGTCAAGGAATTTACTTGAACAAATTAACTTAAAGACATTTCTACCAAACAAGCTACAGGCCAAATATCATGAATGAAGGCTTCACTGTTCATTACCCAAAGTTGTTACAAATCTTTAAAACAATTTGACACTTTTGACCTTGAATATAGGACAGGTAATATATGAACAAACTTGACAGTCGACCCTCAGTGCCTCTAAGCTACATGTACATGGTAAATACCATGATTCTAGGCATTGCAGTTCTTGAGAAGAAGTCTGAGGTAATTTCCACTTACTACTATCTAAGAATAGGTTATCATACCTGTATGAAGAAGACCCAGTTAATTAAGTCAACAGAGTGATATTTAGAGAAATGATAGGTAACCCATCAAGCAAATAAAATATTTAGAGTTATAGAGAATACATCTTGTTCTCCATAACAAAATACAATGCACCACCTAATCAATGAAATATGTATCTGATTACATGCAGGTTAATTGGTTGTTACATGTATCATATTCAAAATCTCACTATCTATTCTGACACAATAAACAAAGAAAAATATTGAAGTTATTGTTTCCTCCAAAATATAAAAACCTCCATTTTTTTTGTGTGAATATGACACTGGAACAGCAATTGCAGAAAATGATAGACAGATTCACAAAAATGATTAACAGCAGTGCACCTTAGAGATGTATAAACTGATCACTTCACAGCACAGAATAGTCCGAGTCGCCATCATTCATGCTGGAGTCCTAATTATAGAGGATTGAAAAGGGAAAGTTTCTATACAAGATGCATATAAACCACAAAACATACAAAATAAGTAATAATTGGTGTTACTGTCAAAAACCAAATTACTGAAATACATAGATGAAAAACAGGGGAACTACTTGAAGATACAATAAATAGCATACCTTGGTATGTAAAAGGAAAGCACCATTGATCAATATGTAAGAAAATTTAAAACTAAAAAGTATCTATAGTAGAACCAGATATGTGAGAAAACTACAATAGCTTTAAGGCTATAAGCTTCTTCACAAACAAATAAAACTATCTATGTTTTGTAGAATTTTACAAAGACAACAACTACTAATTTCAACTAATTAATAATAATTAAATAGGGTATTGTAGTGGTAAATCATTAGAAGCACCAATATTAGTTATTTCATAAATGGTTAAACTACACAGTACACTAAAGTCTGGTCATTGAAATACCAGGATTTACAGTTTATTCTCACCTGTCCAGCACTAGGGTGTGGGGATAAGGTAGAAACTTCTACCCAATGCACTGGTCAGAATTAACAAGTTTAAATACATTTATTAATACTAGTAATGAGCAATACAAATAGTAAAACAACCATTTGAAAAATATCAAAGTTGAAAATAGGTTATGAAAATAAAATTGTGCCATTTATCATTCATTATATATACACTAGTACTGTCATGTTATCAAAATATGGCGTCAATCTGCAGTCAGAGATGTGAAAAAATCGGAAGTAAAAGTCATTGGAGTACTTCATGTAGACCTCAAATGCAACATGGGTGACAAGCCATGACCAGAACTACTTAAAGGACACACACTGCAGGACTGAAGAGTTCCGCTTCCTCTTTGACATTTCAATGGCCAGCTGTTTAATAATTATGATAATGATGACAAAATATCAGGGTGAAATAAAAACAAGAAGCAAATGTCAAAGGGAGGTAACACAGCTGAACCTGATTAATCTAGACCCAATAGCACAGAAAACTCTCATTTACTGAAATCTAATATTCAAGACCTAAGTTTTTAAATTATTTATAAGTGATAATTCTTAGTTTGTTAATCCAAAATATCTATTTATTGGAACATGTTTTTGGGGAACTAAAGAGTCTGTATTAACAAGGTTCAAAAGTGGTTCATATAAGGTCAAAGTTCAGTCAAAACAGGACAGTATGGTACAAAGCCACTAAATGCTGCAGGTTTTACAAGGGTGAAGATCTGTATATTTTAACATTCTCATACAAAACGTTTCACATTACAAAAAGACAACCAAGACAGACAAACAAAATGATTTTTTGTGTCTGGAAGGTTTTTCAAATGACACACCGGATATTGGGACTATATAGATAAATATGATTTCTAGGAAACTGTTGTGACTATAGCATTATAATATCTCGCATACATTGTAGGTTCCAGCTGTAAGCTGATGATTTGTATATTATAGTGTTCCGTACCCAATATAAGAATATCTGAAGTCTGTATAATACTAAATCAAAATAGAAACACAGAAATCAGCCAATCAGAGTGAGGTTTACATATATACTAGTCACAAATTAACGATAAATATGATTTAGATAAGAATTGTTCTATTTATAAAAAAGTTGCCTCTGAGGGTGAATTTTGAGTATCATGTATCCTGTTTGGTAAAGTACAGATAAAGTGTGTTAATAGCTGAATACCCCTAATTATATATACAGGCTAACCCGACACAGCCTACAGCTGTTTGTGAGCATATATCCCTTATATATGATGCATTAAGAGGTGTTTGTTTGTGATGTCTTGTTTGAGGTTACAAAGCTGGATTTCCTTGTGCTAAACTTTCCTAGTTTGTATTATGTACTAATCACAACCATAGTATACAGGGGACTAACACTAACCACATCAGCCCCTCAGTAGGCAAAACAAATACGGCTACATATTATTAATTGTTTATCACTAGCTACAATCTATGTACTATTTGCTTAGGTATCTCAATATTCCTCTACATACAGCAACTAAAAAGAGGTCATCTAAACACCACTTCTCCTTATGATATTGTTGCTGACTTTGTGTACTTATTTGTATTATTCACTGATAGAGGACTTTATTTCGTATACTATTGATATTAGATTTGAAACCGCAATTGATGTATCTAGTATGGCTGTTGGTGTTTTAGCTTACCTTATTATTTACAATATGCATTTTTTACTTAAATCAAGTTGTAATGTAAACATAATAGTATCTAGCAGTTCTCCAAATCTTAAACATAATAGCCTAATATATGGACAATATTATTATTATGATATGAAGAAAAGGTTAATGCTGTTTCCAAAATACATGATCTACATATCAGGCTACTGTAACAGGTTAATTTGACCAGTATATCTTACCTATATGTAAATGGTTCACTCAGAACAACAGATAACTTGCTATCAATGATGGCCTTCCCAGGATTTCACATACACAAATGTCTTGTGATGTTCATAAATAGGTTTACATGTTAGTTGGTTACAAGGGGAAAGTGTGTGTGTGTGTGGGGGGGAAAGAATAATGACTGGGCGGATTGGGAGTAATTATGCACACATAAAGGGATGAAGAGGGATAGCACAGGGATTGGTGGATGGGAGTATATTTGGGCAATACTGCCTGATGGAAGGGTGATGGAGGAAGTTGGAGAAATTTGTAGATAAATAATTTGAAATCTGTCGACAACAAAAATATTTTAAAAAATCACCAGAAGTCATAAAATGAGCAATTCAATTTTGCCAATTTTTGTGAAAAAATACACCTTTGTTCGATTCATTTATCAAGAAAAGATATTTATATGTAACCAACAAAATAATTATATTTCCTCACTCACTATAGCTATGGTAAGCTGTCCGATGCACACGAGTATTGAAGTTTACTACTGTAAAAGTGTATTCCTGAAGTAAATCACACTAGCTGACATTTGAGCCCGTCATGTAGTGTCTCTGGCTGGCGACGCCTACCCTGCCTAGGAAACCACCAGTCACTGGTGTTCCAACAGCAGCCCATTGTCAACAGCAGCTAAAGTCCCAGAGTTTAACAGTTTTGTCGTACGATCCTGACACAATGATGAAGTCATTAAATTGAAGACAGGTCACTCCGTCTGTATGATTCCTTAGTGTTACCAGTCTCTTCCCCGTCTCTAGGTTCCAGACCTAGAAACACAAACATTAAAACATAAGATATAGGAAATACTTTCATTCACTTCTCAAAATTTTAGAGAAATGTCTGCCTCATTGTCCAGTATACTGGATAACATTTTGGGCACTACTTTCCATGTTGTCTAGTATATTGGACAATACTTTAGAGATCCCTTACCCTGTTGTATAACTTACTGCGGAAGATTTTGGGTACTCCCGTCTCTGTTGTCTAGTACTAAGTATACTGGACAAGACATCAAAGAATACCTCCCTGTTGTCTGCTAGGCTGGACAAGATTTTCAACCCTTCCCTGTTGTCTTGTACAATGCATATTAAACAAAATTTAAGAGATACTGCAAGCTACATAAAAAACAAACTTCCAGTTCCTATTTTAAGCAAATTAATACAGAGTCCATCTTTCATTCTATTTAACCATGCCTAGAGAAAGCTAACAAAGATATACCCCTCCCCCCTTCATTTTATCTATGTTTCAAACTTTGTTTGCAGAGGATATAATACCCCATTAACAAATCCCTCCATTCATGCACATTAACATATGATGTTCTTTCCCTGTGCCAAGTAACAAAGAAATCCAACAAAATGGTTAAGGAGGAGTTGCGATAACAAGGTTTCTGGAGCAGAGATTTAAAGTTTCAAGGGCTATAACTCCAGGAAAAATAGTTGAATCGCAAATTCCTTCCTTCATGCAAATCACAAGGATGGACAGACCAACAAGGTGGTTCCTATAACCCTAACCCCACCCCCTCCCCTCCCACCAACCTTCATTAATGGCGGCTATAAGACATTTTACCAGTTCAGGTTGGCTGGTGTGCAGTGAACTAAATACTAGACAAGACGTTCACCAGGAATGTAGAGCTCTGAGCTGACATTGACCTTACCTTGATTGTCTTGTCATCAGCAGCACTGACAAGTCGCCAGCTGTCGGCCTGTAGGCATCTGTAACATGTAAAAACATTGTCAAAATGAATACAACTATCATGTTGATATAAACTTTACCTTAAAGGCTGACGAGCTATTACTATGATTGATAATGGTGACCTTTTGACCCACGTGTGATTAACCATATGACCTTTCATCAGAAAAGCTTTATGTGACCCTCTTAATTTACCTGAAATCTCTGACTTGTATGAATGTTAGCAGTATACAACCTGTTACTTATTTCGAAATATGACTTCACATTACAAATCCAGTGTGACCCTACAGATTCATCTCACATCTCATGACCCCTGCATGACCCTGTTGTTTTACACAACCCCTATATGAACCTGTCACCTAATATGCTCCGTATGATTCTCTCATTTCATGACCAATTGGACCCTCATCTCATGACCCCTGTATAACCCTGTTACTTCACCCCTTTGTGACCCTCTCACCTTACGACCCCTGTGTGACCTTCAGCTGCCTTCCAGTCGATGGTATTCATACACTCTCCACTGTGGATGTCCCAGAACTTGAGGTTACAGTCAAGAGATCCACTCACAATGCGTGTTGAGTCAAATTGTAGACACGTGACCGCGTCCTGGTGACCTGTCAGAGTCCGCACACAGTCCCCAAAGTAGTTCCACACCTTCAGGTAAAACAAGTGTATTAGTCAGCTCAGAGGCAGTATACAGAAACTCATGAAGAGTGAAGTAACAGAATAAAATGTTCATGTACCAGGTGGATAATATGTAAATAAATAAATTAGGCAATCCTACACTCCTTCTTTAGAAAAATGTGGCAGCGTTCTAGGGTGGATCCGGGGTGGATTCGCTAGAGCTCCTCAATAATAAAACATAACGAAAAATAAAGGATGCTCAAAAACTCAAAAAAGAACGGTTTGTAATTTTTACTTGTTTGTCAGCTGGATATGTGTACAGGGTTTTTTGCCTAATTGTTTTACCGTCAAAACAGGGCACCTTCCCCTATCCAAACGTGCTGTTTTTACACAATATGAAGCAAAATGTTTGAATACACCAGGGGTATTCCCAATTTTTTTTATAAAAAAAATATGAGTACTTTCAAAACTTGTATAGGCAGACTGCTATATAGAATTTAGTTAAAATAAAACACTCAATCTTACAAACATGCACAGAGGGAAATATTCATCTGTTATCTTTCCTGTTTCATACAAAAAATGATAAAATCCTAATTTCTGATTGTTTAACTAAATGGTTATGATGTCGAAATAGTCACTGTCCTTTAACAACAGTGCCCTGGGCACTGTACATTTTTGGGAGCATTGATTTAAGTAACATTTCCCTATCAGCATCAGGCCACCCAAATTATCATCATATGAACTCAGATAATAATAGTATTTATATACATTTCCCTTGAATTTTAGGTAACATTTAAATCCATTTGATGTACTAAAGCATTAGTGCCTTCTGTTGAGACACTCTGATGTTAAGAGTGCTGTCTCAGGATATCATGCCTCATCAACAATATGAGACCAATTCATTGTCCTCAATATATAGAACATGCCAATAGAAAAATAAAGGAATAATTTTGAAATGATTGCAATACAGTTCAGTAAAGCTCAGGAAAACCTAACCAGGTAAATGTGAATTGTTTACCCGTACATGGAAAACAGTAATACATGACAATTGTGAGGTGGTTGGCCTACCTTGATTGCTTTGTCACAGGATCCAGACACTATTTTGGTGTCACTAAAGTGAACACATAAAACAGCAGCTAAATGACCCCTACAAACATAAAAAGATCCCATACAGATTAACAAACAATAGTAGATCTCATATACCCGTTTCCTTCATTTAACACATTTTTAATCAGAGAAGAATTTTTCAGCAAAAGTGTTAATACATGATCAGAGATAAGCTGTATAGAATTTACATATATAGCCAGTGGTTTACACCTTTTGGTGATAAATTTCATGAAAAATATTTGTACAAATGTTTCTGTTATATAAACTTGAAATAATTTATTTTAAAGTCAAAGATTACATTTCAGGAAAATGCATTAAAGGTAAAAAAAACAAGAGTGTACTGATAGTGACAGAAGTAATGAGAAAAACTACTTCGGAACAATCTTTAAAAAAAAGACAGTTAAATCACTCGTACAAATCTATATACACATTGATAGTCTATCCTTTAATTAAAATATACAGATGATGGATTGTGATATGTTTATCTACTTGTGAATTCCAATAACAGCTAACTATCTGCAATGAGACTCAGCTCTGTGACATCATCAACATAACACTGTATATAGAGATGTAGAAGGAGTTTCAACATATTTTTCTTGTGATGTCGCTGCAAATCATTGTCATGGTGATGTCACTAATTGTCTGGTTCAGTGTGTTAAGCTGGAGAAATCCTGTGCTGGGAATTTGTCCCGAGTGGACAATCTTAAACTTGACAAAGATCTCACCTGAGGGTCATCCTACAATGGCCTGTACGTAGGTCCCACACCTTGAGCGTCGTATCATATGACCCACTGATCACCTTATCATCGTCCACCTGTCAACATTTTTTTCAGAATTATGCAGATATTCAGTCTTATTTTCTGCAGAATCAATCCACTTTACAGCTTTGAATTCCACTTATGAACATATTATGTATTATAATATTTTTGAAAAGTGAGACAATTTAAACAAACTGTCTGCAAAGGCTATCTAATTCAAGGGATAAAGGCAAACAGACTTCTATTGGGAGGTTTACCTTGTTGCATTGGAAATGTGAACATCTTTGATAAAGTCACCTTTAGGGTTTTGCATTGAAAATTGTTGTTTTCATTTGGACTCCATTACAGCTTTCCTTGTACCTGAAGACATGTATGACTTATCTATAGAAACTCTCTTATAATGCTCACCTTTACAAATCTTACCTAAGACATTGTATGACTCACCTGGAGACACCTGACCGTGTCTGTGTGTCCCACCATGGTCACTTTACAAGCAATACTAGACCAGCTTTCCTGGGTGGACAAGTCCCACACCTACAACAGGTACATTATACAATTACCAAATATATTCTTCAATTAACAAGAATTGCATGGAAAGTGCTTTTTTTATTTCTTTTCATTCGATGAAACACTTGTAATATGACAGTTTTATCAACACCTGTTAGTTCATTTAAAAAGTAAGATGCTTCCCAATAGCAAATAAAATTGTATTCCCATAGTATGAAAAGCATCCCTTTTGAAAAGTATTTCACAAAATACAATGTAGTGCATAGAGATTTCATCACATGTGTATTTATTGGAATATTTTTGATATTAAACCCTTTAAAGTTTTCAAAATTATCTTAGATTTCATTAAAGATTGCTCTATATGTTCTTAAGTATAATATTTTGTTCACATTTGGTTTGAAATATTTTCATTTTCCTGCAAATGCTGCCATACAACAATGGGTGAACTTGATTTCGGCGTGCCATCATGCCAGTTTTATTGGCATACCAATACGGCACCTGTGGTCTGCAAGATTTCACTACTGGTTTGGAGAGAATAGTGTATGATCAATATTTGTTTCTTTAATGTCACCTTGAAATCACTTTGTCAGCCAATTAAATTTGTGCTGTCTTGTCTGATTGTAACATGCCTGTGGTAAGCACTAACATTCACTCTGCAAAAGGTATTATCCGCCATGTAAATGGCATGCTAGAATCAAGTTCATCCATGAAAGAAACCCATTAAAGGGCGTTAAGGGCGATAACTCCTACAGTTAGGGTATAAAACTGTGTTCTGTGAACAGAGTAACTGATACTGCTAACTGCAGATTTAGCTGAGGTTACAAACCTTGATGGACTTGTCTGTAGAGCCACTAACTAGCCGTTTCCCCTCTAGGTGGAGACACCGGACTGTCCCACTGTGCCCAACAAGAGTCTGGACAGACCATGGAGCATTTGTACGAATGTTCCAAACCTTTAACAGAAAAAACACAGATTAATCTATACTTAGATTTTCAATATATACCTACTTATCATTCTTAAAATCTAAATTGAATGTAGTAAAATGTCATGTATTTCTACTCTTAGACTAATAATAGGAATGTGTATGTATGCATCTGATTATTTCAAATTGAACACAAATCTTTTAACAAAATAACCAGGAATGCTTGAAAAGTTCCTTGATATGTCATCTCTGCTTTTGAATACATGTATTACCTTTTCCATAAAAACTAATACTGTAATACTGAAAATATAGTGTGTTAAATACATTTTCACTGAAATGTATTCAGCATTAATATTTATAATCAAAAGTCTTTCAGACACAGAGTGCTGACTGGTATTCCAATCAAATTTATTACAATGTATATCATAATAACAACTACCGGTATACAATGTATATCATAATAACAAATATACAATGTTTATCATATTAACAACTACCAGTATACAATGTATATCATAATAACAACTATACAATGTTTATCATAATAACAACTACCGGTATACAATGTATATCATAATAACAATTATACAATGTATATCATAATAACAACGTTCTATTATGTACAAATGTAGCATGTAAAATACATTTGGATTTCAAATTTTCAAGGGACTATAAATAGTCCCACACATTTTTTTACTTTTGGCTACCTGGTATTATAGCCTATATGTAAAACTGTCCAGCTTGCAACTGTTTCTTACCTTGATTGTCTTATCTGAGGACCCGCTAACGATACGAGTATCGTCAAACTGTACACATGATATACCTACAATTTTAGGAGCTTTTTGTTATAATATTGCATCATACTTGTTAGATATGAAATATGATGTAATACATAGGGTATGTCTACCTAGTATATATCAGAAATAATATTTCTTCTCTTTATAGAAAATTCAATTGTGGCATCAGTGTAACACATCATACACATTAATGTTGTCGTAAAAAACATTGAGAGAGACTATTTATTACGTTTCTGTTTATATTTGATATCATATTATGTGATTGAATATTGATACTGACATTTGAAATCTGGACTGTTTGTTGGTACACAGTTTTTAAAATAGGAAAATGATGGTATAAAACGCATATTATTAACAGCTTACATTCAAAATTGGAATTAATCCATTTTATCCTTAACACAGTGTATGCAAATAAATACAAGTGTATTTTTTGTTAATATGATTAATGGAAATGACAAATAACAAAATTTTGACAGAGATTACCTTGAGAATGACCTTCAAAAGTCCTCACTGTACATCTACCACTGAGCCAATTGTTACGCAAGCGGAAGCGCTCAGCAAAAACTTTCTTCCACTAAAACAAGACATCCAATAATTAAAATTTCTAATAAGTTCAGTGATAAATCAAAATGTGCGCACTCATCAGTTGGCTACAAATTAGCACCTTTAAATTTAAAGAATATACTTTAAAGTTACAAGCTCAAAAGTTTCTTTAGACTTTTAATCTTCTCATGTATTTTTAACAAATTTTTCAAAATATCTGATTCTAAATCAGCTCTTTCTGTATAAAAGACAAAATGCAGCAAAAGAAATAGCAACTCTCAAGCCCTCAGCTACCCCCTACAGCCTCTGTACCAATATTCCCTGGACTGAATGAAATATGTTATTTTTTAAATCAACTTTCAAACCTAACTCATCCTACAACTCACCATGATGCTTCCCTCAGACGACATGTGACTTATGACCTGCTGGTGTTCTGCAGCCTTAGAGAGCCGCCATTTTGGTTGACAACAGAACTTCCTCCAGAAAGAGGCTTCCTCTGCTACATGTCGCCACACCTTACACACCTGAGCTGCATGGCACAAACTTACTGCAGAAGAAATGGTATATTTGTTATATTCAAGTGTAATAGGAGAAAGGGAAATACAACGGCCAGACCAGGGTTCGAACCCGGGACCCTCTAAACTTTTAGATGCATACCCTTCTAGTTGAGCTAGCCACCTGGTTGCGACGATCGACCCAGACCAGTTCTGCTTCAAATGTTGTACTGCGTTTAATTAATGTACAATAGAGCTGTACATGATATAATGTTTTGATATATCATGACACGGCATGTTAAAGGTCTAGGTACAAATTAACTACATATTATCCATACTGTCGCTATGCATACGTATCTAATTATGAAATTCCCTTCAGACTTAGCACTGACTGAGCACATCAAAGATCTCTTATTCATTATACCTATCTAGCTTATAATGGTACACAAGTTTAGGTGAGAACAAAAACCCATCTTAACTCATTCACCCCTGAAATTTCATAATGAACTATTCCAACCTTTGAATTGGAAGAGTTCAAATGTTTCATCAGGGGTGAATGAGTTAATGATGTTATATACTTATTGGTGTATGAATTAATTAAGGTTACACAGTACACACTAGAAAATCTATGTTATTTCTTATATACTGCTGTTACTGTAATCAACTTTTTACACTTGTTACTTTGTGTTATTTAAACAAGTGTGTCACCTGAAGGCTGCATGCACACCAGTAAGTTGATGTTATATTTACCTGGCTACCTAAGTCAGGATGCACACCAGTAAATTGATGTTATATTTACCTGGCTACCTAAGTAAGGCTGCACACCAGTAAGTTGATGTTATATTTACCTGGCTACCTAAGTTAGGCTGCATGCCAGTAAGTTGATGTTATATTTACCTGGTTACCAAAGTCAGGCTGCACACCAGTAAGTTGATGTTATATTTACCTGGCTAGTTGATGTTATATTTACCTGGCTACCTAAGTAAGGCTGCACACCAGTAAGTTGATGTTATATTTACCTGGCTACCTAAGTTTGGCTGCACACAAGTAAGTTGATGTTATATTTACCTAGCTACCTAAGTTAGGCTGCACATCAATAAGTTTGTGTTATTCTTACTCGTGTCTAATATAACCTTATCAGGTATGTACCTAACAAAATTATCGTACAAAAGCAGAAAGTTAGGAATAAATCAGCATTCCATAATTATGACATCATGTTTATCAACAAACTATCTAGCTGGATCATCATAACTAGTATATTATCATAGTTAAGTACAAATTCTATGGTATATGTTACCTGGGTCGAGGAAGGACATGATTTTACTGGCGATATCTGCAGGCAGCCATGTAATAATGTCCTGACAGTTTGGAGGACAGCCCCGGTGAAGATTAGGGCCCATTTTCACAGACAGCAAGTGTAGCTGGGGCAGGTCGCAATCTCTCTGCAACACACAATACAAGGCCATGGTAAGAGATCATAAGGTCCAAGATCAGTGTTAAGAAACACAATTATGATCAGAGAATACTTATTTAGGAAACATGTGGTTGAGGGACACCTATGGCCAGGAAAAATATACTGACAAATAACACCTACTTAAGAACGATATCATACATGTATGTCAGCATCAAAAGGAAAGATAGAAGACAGAAGTTTATCAACATATGTTCAGCCTTTCTCTGGTCATTGCACAGATTAGAATTATAATGATTTATCCTTTGCCATAATCTTCATACAAATAGGTACATATTGGTTTAGTAATTATAGCTAAAAATATAATGATATTCAGCTGTTCCAAAGCTATCAAGTTTCTTGAAGTAATATTTGTTCATAAATTAAAGCATCTAAATGATTTGGATCTCTTCCTGTGACCTTGACCTTAGGATAGACTTGACTTATCTTTTATCTGTAATTATGATGCATATCCATCGATGAAGATGTAGAAACAAATATGATACACTGTAGTAGAAAGTGATGGCCTGAACAGTTTTGTTGTGGCCATGATCATGAAAGTACCACATCTTTCATTTGTAAATATTCAATTCCCTTTGCCCAAAGATTCTCTAGAACAAGTTTGGTTAAGTTAAAATCCCTTCAATGGTACAAAAGGAGAAGGATCTTTAATGTTTTCCTCTATTTCCCCACTCATCTGCCCCAAAGGGTTCACACACCTCAGTTTTAACAAAATTGATTCTTTTGTCCCTAAGCATGCTTCAAACTGCATTTGGTTTAAATCCCTTCACTTGTTTAGTAGGAGAAAAAAATCCTCTATTTCCCCTATTGGGCCCCGCCCCTCCGCCCCTAGAGGGGCCACACCCTCTGTTTATACAAACTTAAGTCCCCTTTGTCCAAAGATGCTCTAGGACAAATTTGGTCAAAATCCTTCAATTGGTTGAGAAGAAGAAGATTTTTAAAGATTTACCTATTTTCCCCCTATTTGGCCCCGCCCCTCTGCCCCCAGGGAGACCATACCCTCTGTTTATACAAAACTGAGAACCCTTTGGCCAATGATGCTCCAGACCAAATTTGGTCAAAATCCCTTCATCGGTACAAAAGGAGAAGGATCTTTGATGTTTTCCTCTATTTCCCCTAATGGGCCCCACCCATCTGCCCCAAAGAAGGGGGTCCACACACCTCAGTTTATACAAAATTGATTCTTTTGTCCCTAATCATGCTTCAGACTGCATTTGGTTTAAATCCCTTCACTTGTATAGTAGGAGAAAAAAAATCCTCTATTTCCCCTATTGGGCCCCGCCCCTCCGCCCCTAGAGGGGCCACACCCTCTGTTTATACAAACTTGAGTCCCCTTTGTTCAAAGATGCTATAGGACAAATTTGGTCAAAATCCTTCAATTGGTTGAGAAGAAGAAGATTTTTAAAGATTTACCTATTTTCCCCCTCCCCTCTGCCCCCAGGGAGACCATACTCTCTGTTTATACAAAACTGAGAACCCTTTGGCCAATGATGCTCCAGACCAAATTTGGTCAAAATCCTCTGAGCCGTTCAGGACTAGTAGCTTTTTAAAAGAAAAAGTTGAAGGACGCCGGACGCTGCGGCATGGGATAACCTCACTTGGCCCATTGCATTATGTAAATCAGACAGAACCAATAAGTATTGACTCATGGACATTTTAGTTCTGCTATACAGTATGTAACTATACATTATAATGCAGTCTTTCTCTGACTTTCTAGCACAAACAGCCTCCAAAATAGAGATCTAGTACAGCAGAAGGCTAAATACTGCTTAGATCATTTATAAGATAAAACTTGTGTTATCAAGGACGGTTTGTATCGTTAAAAGCCAGGAAAGTGTTAAATTTCGAACCAAGTTTGTTCTTGACCGGATACTATGTCACTGAGAATACACAGTCCATATATACCAATCAAATTCTGATGTTTCACATGATGTACAGAGTAATATACATTACCTAGCTGTAGCCAAAGGCTGATGAATACCTTCCACAACATATCATGTCACTGTTGTACTGTACTAGCCAATTACAGAGTAATTAGAGAACTAATTGGTCACAGTATTCGTGTCTGTGTCACGTGCACTTGTATTCTGTACTGAAAGGAGTGTGTGTATGTGTATATATATATATAGTCCGGAGGTTACTAGAGTAGTTTCTCACTGGGACAGGAAGTACATGTATGATCATTAATACTGCACCATATATCTGCTGACAATGGAGCTGGTAATGATACTGGTCAACCTTATAAGTTTGCATAAAATTCACTGACCAATAATGCTATATATATTAATCCATTCACCCCTAAAGTCACATTTGAGCCTTGCCAAATCGAAGACTCAGGACAAGTCAAGTTTATAAATGTAGGAGTGAATGAGTTAAGCTTACAAAAGTACTCTGGCTAGTAACAATATCTTTCCGCATGTTATATGCACACTAGTACTAATATTAATACCCGGCCTCCTCTGCCCCGGCAAATGTATGAAAAAAATATCTTGTCGTCATGAATTGCTTTATTACATTTTCAATAATCAAGAAAATAATATTTGAAACAAATACTAGTCACTGTTTCAGTGTATTTATTGCACTTTTAATACAATGATATTTGACTTTTTGTGATTTAGATATCATATATGAACTACATCAAAATTGCAACTATTTTGAACTTGGAGATTATATGTGGGTCAGTGACTATTAGGAGATGCTCTTTTTTAAAACAAATTAACGATGATATACATTGTATTGTGCAACGTTATAATAATACAGAAAAGGACATAGACTTTTCTAGTTACTTTTAAGGACATTTCTGAGATGTTATTATTTGTAGTCAACAAACCTGAAAATGTGAATACAAGCTTAAGAATTAGCGACATACTTTCCATTGCTGTTGTTATAATTACTACATTCTCACTGTAGTGTATGGAGCCTGTACGTTTAAAAAAGTTTGGATTGTTTAAAAGATGGTGGCTGCCAAAACAAGCAGAAAGTGAGTTCTACTTCAAAATTTTTAGCAATCAGCGGATGCACTGAAGCAATCCTCTCCAGAAAAGCGTCTTTATTAAAGTACAGTGTTTGCAAGGTGATGGGAGCATCAGGATGTTCAGTCGACAACGAGTTTGAAATTACTCAAAAAACAAGTTCAAAAATTAATTCTGAGCACATGATATAGGTTGAGAAACCTATAAAGATTCATAATAATCTATACCAGTTGCAAAATGTCCTATAAACAAAGAGGTGACCTCAGACCTAGAATTATATTTGTGGGATTTGGTCACTCCGTTACCTACGACTGTGTACGGTTGTGACATCGGATTAAACTTGTAAAACTGTAAGGTCGTGACTGCATATTCGGGCATCGTGATTGAGCGGATGGGACTTCTATCACTTAAATGCTGTTTGTCTTTATAATTACATATACAAAGAAACATATTTTACCAATGGAGCTGCACTATTGATACAATTGTAGCTTTGGGGATGAAAATTCACAAAATATCATTGACCAGTTCAGTGCTCAATCACAAAAAATCACCAGTTGATCAGGGATAGAACTTTACTTTTGAACAACATTGTATACCAATGTACGCCTGAACAACCCGATTGCTGGCTCCGGTCACTTAGCTTGAAAACACTACTGTAATATAGATCCTTTTTTGGAGTGGAATTTCAGCATTTTACGACACTCTGATCTTTTATAGATTGCTTCAGTGCATCCTGATCGCTCATGATCACCTTCTACTTAGTTTGGCAGCTGCCATCCTTAAACAGTCCTAACTTTTTTCAACGTACATGCTACACTACAGTGGTACTGTGAAATCACTAATATTTGTAAGATTTTTTAATTTGATTTTGTTGGTTATCTCAATCCACAAAATAATAGGTGCATGAAATAATTATAAGTTTGATATTTAAAGCAATTCTCCATTTGAGTGGGTACTCATAATTCACAAATTCACAAACCCACGAAATGGTGTTTTGTCAATGCAAGAAACCACAAAATTAGGATTCAATGAAAATATATCTGATTTCACAGTGATGTATTTGCAGTATACATATGTATCTGTTCAATTCATTAATAGTAAGTCATGGATGCATAATTCAGAAATGTGCAGATGCTTTGATTAATGTTCTGCTCCTGAGAAGCAAGCAATGATTTGATATTTCGCCACCTGCTTTGACCTTGAATTTGCTGGTACAGATCAAGATTGAGCTATGTTGGTTCACTTATAATTATATAGAGGAGGCTAAGTAACTAATAACCTCTCACTTAGACTGTTATTGTCTATATGAAAACTTCCTTAATCAATTATTAGTGAAAATGTATAGATCAAGCTGCAAATACATCAAAGTTCTACAAAACAAATATCTTTTCCTTTATTAAGGTATAGTGATGAATAAAATGTGGCTTATGGGGTGAAATCTGAGATGTGACAATAACTATGTGATAAATGACCTACTTCTGTTAAACGCTGTAGAAAATGTTGAAAATTAACCTCCTTAGATGCTTAATGGTGCAGAAATAGCTCACTAAGAAATCAACTTATTGTGCATGGCACACCTTCTACATTCGTTGTAAAAGCAATGAAATTACATTTAAGTGAATCTCTTTGAAAAATGTAAATAAATGTAACTGGCCAAACAATATTATTCTTTTCCTGTTCAGTGAAGTGGAAAAATATAGGTCAGTAACGGTGCAAAATGCGACAATATAAAATATTGTTAATGTTAATTACAGCAGTATATGTACTGATATACGTAGCTGTTGTCATGGGGTTCAACAACGCCAAACCTTTATATCTTTGTTGTTTATTGTAACATAACATGAAGATTGGTGAACCTGTATAAACATACTAGAAAAGTTAATGTGCGCAATGAACTTCCACCCCTAGGTAAATAACAGCACACAAAGATTGTGACCCTGTATGTCACGACAACACTTCCACCCCTGGTTATATAACAGTACACAAAGATTGTGACCCTGTATGCAATGACAACACTTCCACCCCTAGGTATATAACAGTACACAAAGATTGTGACCCTGTATGCAATGACAACACTTCCACCCCTAGGTATATAACAGTACACAAAGATTGTGACCCTGTATGCCATGACAACACTTCCACCCCTTGTTATATAACAGCACACAAAGATTGTGACCCTGTATGCCATGACAACACTTCTACCCCTTGTTATATAACAGTACACAAAGATTGTGACCCTGTATGCCATGACAACACTTCAACCCCTGGTTATATAACAGTACACAAAGATTGTGACCCTGTATGTCATGACAACACTTCCACCCCTAGGTATATAACAGCACACAACGATTGTGACCCTGTATGTCATGACAACACTTCCACCCCTGGGTATATAACAGTACACAAAGATTGTGACCCTGTTTGTCATGACAACACTTCCACCCCTAGGTATATAACAGCACACAAAGATTGTGACCCTGTATGTCATGAAAACATAAGTTAATTATCGCCAGGACATCAAAATCATTCACTATTCATGATCAGGGACGGATTACAAGATATAGGTCACTGTGACCTCAAAGTTATAGTTGAAGACAAACCTTTGACTCTGGAACTAAAGGAACATAATGATAAATAAAAGCTATTGTCTGGCAATAATAAGATTAAACCATGTAAAATCAACTCACAAGCATCCCTTTTAGAACCATGTTCTTCTGAGAGTCACTGCAGTCATTGAACCATCGAAGTATAGTCTGTAAAATAGGGAAATGATATATTTAAACCTACATATTACACCATAGTTCATGCACATACGTTCATTATTTCTTAACTATAACAGAACTTACAGCTGCAAGTAAATACCATTAATTGTTCTAAACTGACACGAGTTCTGTAACTGCAGACTGAATATACCCCCGGCCCCGGGTATGAACCTTCATATCTACAATGTAGATGACTCTTAAAACATATGTGTATGGAAGAATACTAAATTCCAAATATATCAGTTCATAATGGAGAAATGAATAGCTGTAAAAATCACAAGTTCAGATCTCCTAAAGTATGAAAATTAAAGCAACAGAAAATTTTCACAAAAATACTTTAAAAGATGTACATAGTCCATACATGGAAATGTTAGAGACTGGTTTGCATATTTTGAAACACATAAGAATGTAGCTTGACAATAGATATATAGCCCAATTACCATGATGATACAAAGTAGCCTGAAATGAGATTCAGTAGTGAATTCCATTATTTAGATTATATATAATTTGATGGAATGGGAATTCAAATGACTTTGAGATTCTTTAATCATTTGCAATTCAACCAATCAAAGCATGCATGGTTACAGATTTTTAAAAAATACTTAGGCTGGAAAAATCAAAAGAAATTTACTACTTTTGCTTTTGCTGTAATTAATGTCATCCATGTAAAGAATGGTGATACCATGCATGTTAACGACAATTATGTAAACTGAGCTATTATATATAATTACAATGTACAACAGCCTAGCTGGCATAGATACTTAGGTGATAAATGGTATCATTACTCTGCTCACAAGTGATGATTGATAATTTGTATAATTTGTATAATTTCCATTCTGATTCAATAAAAACACCAGATCCAAATGTGGTTCATTAGGATTTCTTACACCAAAGGATAAACAGAAAGGAATAGCCAGGAAGTGTTGATTTACACAGAAAAAAATAATACCCATAAATCACACTGTAAACAAAATAAAATATTTATGATAATCAGGTATCAAAAATTGTTGGCAGTGATGTTTTTTGAAATTATTTTGATTGTGTCCCAGACAAAAAATTATGAATTGCTAATTAAGGATCCCTGTTCCACTGCACTGCCGTTTTCCCCATACAAAGTACCCTCCCCTTAACTCCCGTTTAGATATAACTGTAGCACATTTGGGCTAGTTGCTGTTGACTAGGTAACTCAATCAGTAACAGCGATAGTATAACAAACCAGACAAAAATTTTGAAGTCCAGGGTTCGAATACAGCTGAATGTTTTTTTTACACCCAGAACACTATAGCTATTGTTCATTATATTTCGTTTATTTCATATTTATCATTTTTCATAAAAGTCCCGCAAGGTAGCTTTGATGGGATCCTTAATTCAATTCTATAAATATTTTAGATAAGAATTTCAAAAAAAAGATTAATTGAGTCCAAGTTAAATGTGATAAGTCTAAGAACTCAAAATTGCTTTGCTTTGGGAAGGTGAGCTAAAACAAAGTCTACCATAATTTTATCTCTTGCATGTCTGAATCGAGTTCCACTAGCAAGGGGAGATAATTAGCTAGTAGAAGAAGGAAGCCGTTCAATTCTTTCATATATTCATATAATTACCAGGTATGTGGGGCTGGTAGCCAGTCTAATTGAATAAGTGTGACACTTTTTTAATTGACACACTTATTCGAGACTTGAGTTATATACTGAATATTTGTTCCAAGCATGCAACTGCAAAAGTAAGTAGTCTGTATACGTACACATACATGTATATGTGCTCACTTAAGTTAAAGGTTATTTATTAGAAGTATATAAAATATTGATAGCAATACTTACTGCAATTTTTTCTTTGAAAACGGTAGGTTTAACTCCATCCTTGTTTCTGCAACTGATTCGGGAGCTACCATTTGGGATGGCTTCCTTCTTTTTCAGGGAGACATTGAGGAGTGGGCTAAGAGCGAGGTCACACATCGGCAGGTGTGACCGTTGTATACTTTCACCATCTGATTGAGATAGAGGCTGTAAAGTTGTCTTACTGGAAGAGTCATCCTCGCTGTCACTTGAATAGTCGCTACGTCTGTATTTGTATTGTTCCTTACGAGTCTTGGAGAAATGACCCCAGGAGGTTACCGGACAGGTGGACCTAAACTCCCAGCCAGGATCTGATGGTTCTTGATCGTTTCTATGGAATACCATGTCTGCACTGTCTGGTGAAATATTCCCGTCCATTTCATCCCCACCATCAACGTTACCACTGTCAGCAGCACAAGTACAAGCATTTCTGTGATGCTGATGGGGCTCCTTCCATTCAGACTCACTAGAGCCAGAGCTTGCATTTCTAGAGTCCATAGAACAAATCCCCTGGTCAGTCGCATAGTGGAATGAGCTAGATTTACATATTTCTGATGTCTTGGAGTCCTTTTGACACAAATACTTGTCACTGGGAACAGATGACAAGTGCCTAGCACATCCCCTCCTCTTGGCTCTGTCCTTGTGTTCATGACTACTGCTGTTACAAACAACAGGGTCATCACCAAGGTCAGAAGCAGCGTTGTCATGGTTACTGTATCCATTGCTTGCGTTGCCACTTCCATTTACAGTCACAGACATAATGAAATTGAACTCACAACTCACAAAATCATTGAAAAAATAACAACCTTTGTTTTTGAATGGCATAAAACACCATTACTCCAGATGTCAAAATGGACATTATAAATATATATTCATATATATAATCTATAGAAGCATGCACCATATAAGGTAAATTCACAACCAAAGAAACTGATATGATTCAAAATATGTTTACATCCTACTTTTATAAGAAATTGCAAACGAATGCAAATTTCTAAAATTTGTGCTTTCTGTTTCACATTTTGTTATCATTCATATACTAAGTCTGTTAAATACACATAGTTGTTGGTTTTTGAGTGTCTGATACCCTTTTGAAGATGTCTTCCATTATAAGCTGCTTATAATGAGCCAAGATCCTGCACCGATCCCTGCATCATTACCTAGTGAAAAGAAATTAGAACTATTAAGATTTAAAAAAAAAAAGATTAAAAAGTACCACATATAGCTTATGATTTAAACATTGTTTATATACAATCCTGGTATCCAGAGCTATACTGGTATGCATTTATGAACAATGTTAGCACAATTTATAAGCGAAGTTTCGAATTTTCAAAAATAATTTGACCAATTATTATTTATTTATCGAAAAAGGGAATCTAAAAGTAATTGTCCAGTTAGTATATCCTTGACTACACAACTTTATAAGGGTTGGAGCTAAATATTCCAGTACTTGCCATGGTATATCCTTTTTAATAGTTGTGTGCACGTGGCACATGTACATTGTACGTTTCCCAGACTATTCTAATGATTCAGTATTATAATACTGTGTATCACAAATGTTCATGAAGTCATAGGAATTCTCATTTAATGCAGCCAAACGTGCACTCACACCAATGCACATCTACACTCCCATTAACATGCGGTCACACTCACACCAATGCACATCCACACTCACATTAACATGCGGTCACACTCAAACCAATGCACATCCACACTCCCATTAACATGCGGTCACACTCAAACCAATGCACATCCACACTCACATTAGGTGATTAACATGCGGTCACACTCACACCAATGCACAATCTAATTAAAATTATATCTTCACATCGCTCCCGTTTACTGATATGTCGCGTTGAAGATCTAACAACATCCCGTAGAGGGTCATGTTCAGGCGACCTTTGCATTAACCAATCAGATGAGAGCTTACGCATTTCTGTAAGTGATGATGTAATGATTTCGGAACACACTTGCTATGATAAAAGACCGAGAGGTGTCAAATGAGCATCGAAAATGGCGGCGCCCATGACACCACGCCGTGTCTATCTACAAGACAACGTTTGTACAATTTGTGGATTTTGCTTTGAAATAAGAGAGACTTCCTCTTCTGGTGATGTTGTCGTTAAAAAGTTTAACAACCTGAAACTAAAATTAACCAATGACAGGCTTCGCAATATTCAAACTATCACTGGACCAGACGAAAAAGTGGATTTTGGGCTACGAGGTGTCTGCATTAAATGCTACAGGTCCTGCTTTCTGATTGGTTGAAAGAAAGAGTTATGTCGCGTTTTGATTGGCTTGTTATAAATACGATAATGCTTTCATGTTGACCTCTGACGTGACCTTCTATGGGATGTTGTTAGATCTTCAACGCGACATATCAGTAAACGGGAGCGATGTGAAGATATAATTTTAATTAGATTGACCAATGCACATCCACACTCACATTTTATTTAAAATAAAACATGTGGCCACACTCACACCAATGCACATCACCACTCACATTAACATGTGTCCACACTATATAGCTAGCATGTGCACCCAGATCATGCATACCCAAACCAACATCCATGTCCATGAAAGATGAGTGTGTATCCACTGCACCACTCGATAGACCACCCATCTAACCCATGATCCCTGGCTTCCAAGTAGATTCCTACATTGAGGTTTATGTAGCAGACCAGTTTTTTATGCCTCTGCCAGGGAAAAAAATATCAGATATCTGGCTGAATTGTTATAAATTAGATTCTTTTCCAACTGAGATAAAGAGAAATATCCAAAGCTGGGCTGGAAGAAAATGAAATAGGTTGTATTTTACCAGGTTACAACTGTGTCCAACTTGTCTAGCTAAGTACGCTTATGGCTGATGATGTATATCCTGATAACCACATGTATATGTCATAATTGATCAATGACTGTTCAACTATCATGTATCTCTGGTGAAACACTGATGTCTCTAAAACATCACTTAAATAAGTATACATTACAATGTCCCACCACTTTACATTTCTGGTATTTATTCCACCAAAACACAATAGCATTGGTATCAAGAGTCCATTCTGCCAGTTTGGGAAAGGGCAGGTGTATGTACATGATCATGTATAGGCTAGTGTCCATTACATGTACAATATATATAGCAGGGTGGAGTTGTCAGTATCGTATATATATAACAGTGTTGTCACATATCTAGGTCGTAAACGCTGGTACCGGTCGGGTGCACAATCAGGACGATCAAGTATCATTTTAACACCGTTTGCATTCTCATGACCATGATGAGTGATGTCAGAACTATTTCAAAATTGTCATTTTAGAACAATTGAAAGGCGCCTCACTCGGCAGTACTATCGTGATCCAATGCCCGTCTTTTATATCAGAGCAACATACTACATACTCTAAATAATAAAATATACTTGTACCTTAGTCGTTTTCGTGTTAATATCATGATGGATTCCATTTCAAAATATGAAACGTATGTTTTCTTCTGGAGCGAATTATGTTGGAACTCTCTACTGTGACCCCGGTGTGAAGGTAGAAAGAAAGCGGCAAACATTTACTTCCGGTATATTTTTCGCACAACAACAACGTTAGGAGACAGCTAAAACAGATTTACAAGAATAATGGAAAAGACTCTGGAAAAATCGATGGACGAAACGTACGACAATTCTTACATGTTATTCACTCTGAATTGTACATGAGCTCGTATCTTTTCAAAGCATGTACTTTTACATGGGTGTCTGACGTTTCGGCCTACTGTACAGTAGTGACCAATGTCCCGTGATGCAAGTAGTATACTGATTATAGCATGTCCCAAATATATCCCGAAACCAAATGTCATAGGATTTCAGGCAGGTTGGTCATGATCTATCGGTGTCAGGTCGTTTCGGTAACAAGACGAAAGTCGTTTCGGGACATGTCAAAAGTCGTTTCGGGATTTTTTCTTTTTTTTTTATCTTCTGTAGTTACCATTGTCTTTTTTCTTTAAACATATTTTAATGTCAACTTAATTTAGACAATCCTTTACCATTACATATGACACATTTAATAACACATGAAACAATATATAATATTCACACAGACACAAACATCTTTCAAATTATATATATTGCTGGATTTGATGAATTGATATAGGCCTACATGTCTAAAATATATTCTCCGTGTTTCACGTTTTTATTTCATGAAATTTAATTTCATTAGGGTAGCAAAAATATAATGCTTAAAACGTACATTGTTAGAATCAATGTTAACTCATTCGTCTCTTAATGTCTTAATAACAATAACGGAGAATAAAGTGAATTGAAAACATATTATTACAATATCAAACGAGGAATTAACCTATCAGTAATGAAAGAAATTGATGTTGAATATCATAAGTTCCTCTAGATCTGTATTTAATAATGAGATTAAGTTTCATCAGGTAACAACACACTGTCAATCGGGTAAATGTTGGTAGGTATCCCCTCAAGCACTAGCAATCTGTTAACACTATAATGATCCCAAGCATGGGTAGGTCATGATACAGGTCATAGACTAAAACCATACTTGTGTATTTACATGACTTTTTATGGCGCAGGTCGAGCAGACCTCGCTGGTAGGGGGACCCCCAACCCTTGGAAAGCTTGACTTGCAGCATTGCACAATGATTTCAAATTTCAAGTTTTCATGCCTTTCTACAGTAATGCAAAGATCTGTCAGTGTATTTAGTTTGTTTTATTTTGATATCTTTGAAAATAACTATGTAAAAATATTCTATAGTTTGCTACTATAAGAAGCTGTCTGCCACTATAAAATAATAATTATGGACAATAGACCATAGATACATCTTAGGTAGTACATCTCGCCCCATGCATCAAATGCTGGATGGGATCTACCTTTCATGGTCCAGTGACTTTGTCAGCACCCCCATCAACATTCCTGGTATTTGGGATTTATATTGAATTAAACATGTCCACTGTAGAAATATACAAGTTCTTTACGCTGAAACTGCTATAATTAGTTTTAAGATGGAATGAGAAATCCTAGATGTACAAATTGTTTGAAATTGGAATAATGTGTAGGTGAAAAATATGAACTACATGTATATCTTATTGTATATATCATATTTCAATTTTAATTCAACAAGACATATGTTCCATTTCAGATTTTGAGTCCATGATAAATGAATGTAAAAAGTTGATGAGTAAGAAAATGGAACTATTTTTTCTTGAAATTCTGATATTATGAAAAAGGGCTCCAATGCAGACAATATCAAGAATAACTTAAATCACAATGCAAAGAATCGTTTGCAAAACAAATGAACTGAGCAACTTTAACTCGAGCTTAAGACAATGTACACACATATCTTAAGACCCATTTGCTGTACAATTTGAAATATTGTGTTGAATAAGAATGGTTTGAAAATAATTCTAAATCTTCAATGTATTTTGTACAGGTTCCGAGTCCCAGGTGTTGCAGGAGTTTTGTGTGCTGATGAGCATGGCCTTTGTTTATCATGTAAGCTTGCATTTACTATTTGATTGCATTTAGTCATTCTGTTGTCTATATTAATGTCTATAATTGTATAACTAGCCTATAGGTAAATGTTTAGTTTGTTTTGAACACAAACAGGAATTGAAAATTTGCAAAAACATGTTTTCAATATGTGTTTTTGTTTAAAAAAGACTGACCACTTATTATTCATACCAAACTGATGAATGTTATTCGGAATAGCCTTTAAGTAATTTGTTAAAGTGTTAATCTGTGCTTCTAGAGGATACAACATTCAATAAATTTATCAGCAATTCAGTAGAGCTAAAACTTTGATTTCTAGATTCATTTCTGAGTGAGAATCAACCTATGTTTGAATAATTTACAGTCAGCACTGAAGTTTACCTCAAGTTCAGAAATTTATCAATACAGATATGTAAAATGCTTAAGGGAAAAACAAAATTGATAAAGTTTCACAGGCACAACTCAGTGAATTTTAATTGCTAATAAACAAATGTCCCCCTATAGACTCTTTAAAAAGTTTAAATTTTCTTTTATTATCAAAACTTACAAAGCAAAAGTCACGTTTTATTTACCTGTTTTCCTGAAATTCATTAATCTGGACATATCCTCCAGAGACTAGAGTGTCTGGATTAGTTAGGCTCAATTGCTCACTAAAATTCTCAATGACCTAAAAGACTGAAATGTGCAAATGCCTGTGCTTCTGCTTTGATGGAAATAGAGGTAAACTAAAAATCTACCTAAAATTGAACTTGGTATGTATTAGTATAATGTGGTGCAGTGGATAGCACACTCAACTTTCATCATGATTGCCGGGGTTTGATTCTCGAATCAGGCGTGGAAAAATGGAAACTGGTGACCCATATCTTCTGTTATGATCTGTCTAATGATGGTTACCAGTAAAAAGGACACAAATTCACAGCATATTTTGTCATGTTTACAGCCAAGGGGATTGCCCAGAAAGAGGCTGCGGGACAGCTAGCCAGTCTAGCGCGACAGGCACAGCAGCTACACCCCACCAACCCAAGCCCTGTCATTGCTATAGAAGCTGAAGGAGGGTGTGTATAACAAGCAAATCTATACAATTTACAAACAAAAATATGAGTCATGATCATTCATTTATAAATTCTATTTTTCTTTTTTATTAATAATAATTATTGCCTGTAGGAGGTTAATCAGTTAATGCTGAAGCAACACTTACAGAGAAGTTATGTGCGCCCTTAATCTGACATGTTTCAGAAGTACCTGGTACATTGGATTATGCATTGGAAAAATTATGATTTTATGTAAAACAATTTTAAAGCTGTTTAATTATATGAATTTTAGTATGTTATGCTTGAGTTAAGGTCGAATGAGTGTATTGATAAACAGAAATAGGAAGTACATCCCTAGAAGAAAATCCAATGTACGGAGACAGTATAACAATTTCTGCATATTCTAAAGTTTAATCTTAAACTGATGAATATTGTATGTTTATTATTGACAAAACAGTGTGTTCTCTCAATATTAAAGTATTTCAAAGAAATCCAGGCATTAATCAGTTGTTTTCTATCAATGAGTCACATGTGTCCATTTTTCTGTACTTCAGGAAACTGCCTACTTATTTCACAACTGTGAAATTTTTCAAGAAAGATAACTCTAAATCTTACATGCAATTACTATGATTATAAAATGTCACTTTTTTTTAATCGTTTATAGATAATATATTTTACACAATTTCAGCATTCATTAAATTGATATTCATTAATGCAATACTAATCTATGTCAGTATCATTTTTGTTGGTATTATTTTGCAAAAACTTTTTTTTTTCAAAATCCGCTCCTTTTTACATAAATTTCCATTTAAAATCCTTAAAATTCTGACAAACTATATATTTTTTTGTGGCAGAAATGTTCTTTACTTCAAAGCAATATAACTACAAAATTTGAAGAAATTCTTCTGAGAAATGGTGACACAAACCTATTACCTTTTGAATATAATAACATTCACTTTTCATAAAATCTAACAGGTCAAATGCATGTATATATGTAGAATATACATATATATATGCATTTGACCTGTTAGATTTTATTAAAAGTGAATGTTCGCCATTTGAATCATAATGTTGATGACTAATGCAAAAAATGCTGTTCAATCCATATTTGAAATTAAATTCCAGGGATAAATTGTCATTTGTGTGCCTGAAATGAAGTCTGTATGTACGTACATTGCATTACAGAAATTAATTTCATATTTGGTCATCACTAGTGAAATTGGATTATATTACAAAAACAATAATAATTTGGAAAGAAAAAAACAAGATCTTGTGGGACTTTCTATTGAATGAACATTCATGAAGTTAATTCTTTTTCTTTCTTTTTTTTTAATTGAGAAAAATTGAATTAAAACTTTTTCTCATTTGATGAAACAATGTTTTATTTGAGATGTAACGCACAAAAATTAATACAGCTACATATATATTATATAAGGACAAACAAATAGTTTTCCCCAATGATGACAAAAAGAAAGAACTCAATGCATTATTGTTATCTGTAAAATTTTGAGAGCTCATTTAACAGATTTTCCAGACCTAGAACAAGATATATGTATAAAGAAAAGTAGATGTTGTGAGCATCCTTCTATTATAAAAAAAAGTAACGAAAAGGAAACAAGTAATATATCAGCAGTGTATATTATGTAACAGGAGAGTATAAATTTGAACTTTGCAACTCCGAACATGAAGTAAATAGTCACTCTTATTTTCTCTGCTACCTGGTTATTGGTAGTATATCTGACAGTTCTACCCAAAAGGATATTAAGGGAAGGTTATACAAAATACTACAGTAGAATTCTCTGGTATTTTGTCTGCATTAGGACAGGAATCACAAATCGAATGCAGATCACAATTTATCTCTCATTCTAATGTACTGACCTTTGTTGGCATTCTTATTACTAGTCCGAATTATTCTGACGTTTTATCGACTTTTTTCATATCGGACTGTCGTCGATTAACATCATTAATCGACGACAGACCGATATGAAAAAAGTCGATAAAACATCAGAATAATTCGGACTATCCTATTACATACAGTATATACATGTACCATCATCATTTTCAACTTCTTGCTAAGAAGAGTATAAAGTAAAGTAGTTTTACTTTCCTTTGCAGAACGATTTTGATAAAGAGTGAATCAGAGGTGACCATGGCTGTTTACAAGGCACCAATATCATGACAGATCTATTCTTGTGATACAAAGTTGGATGCTTCAGACTTGCCTGTGTGAGAGAAGGAAATGCACATACATACATGTTTGAATCATCAACCTCTTTCTCGGACGACCTTGTCTATAATGAGAGCATCTACAGTTATCTGTTGTGGGTAGTGTGCAATTTCTGGAATCCTTATCTCGGGAAGGGGAGGTTACTCTCTGTAACAGGAAAGTATAACTGACACTTAATTGTCAGTGGTAATAAAAATGTACAATGTAGATAAAACTATGTGATATGTCATTTATATTTGTGAAATGAATGCAAATATTTAAGAAATAAAATATATTAGAAAGATCCTGTTTTCCTAATTTCTGTTTGACTGCAGTGTTTGTTGTTTAACATTAAGACAGTACACATACAAACATCTAATAATCTTTTCTGTAGGTGAAAGGTGCATTCTTATAACTAGGTCTTTCATGACTTACCTCGCAAGTCTGTCAGAAGCTGTCGTTATTATGGAATCAAATATTCAATCACGTAGCAATTGATAAATGTGCCTACATTTGTATTAGTAACTTCAGTATTGTGCTTTTCCTTAGCTCACTTTTTTTTTTTTAAGTACATAGAAATTTAAGCTAAAAACAGTACACATGTACATATATAATTATATAATATGTAAGCACAGATGCAATAGCCACAGTGGGGTTTGGTGTTAAGGGTTTAATGGCCTTATAGACAGCTGATTATATATGGTCATTTAAGGACGTGCCTCCATGTGTGTATGTTATGGTTTGGAGGCAGCATATGTTGGAGTTATTGCATTCTTGCGATAGTGCGAATCTTATGCCGACTGTATAGTGCTATCTCACTGATACATGTATACAATGCTGAAGGCACCCAGCACAGCATTCCGCCAGATAACATTATACTAACAACGGATGAACCAGTTGTTGCCAATTACCTAAACGCTTAACGTTAAACAGGGAATAACAACTACTATTTTGAGGACTTTGATATGGGGACGGAACCCATTGCCTTCCTCAAATAGGTGAACGTTTAACATTACAGCCAAAAGTAAGGTTTTGCCAAGCAAGGCGCTTGGAAACAAATGGTAATTAGAAGTAGAGATAAATAGAAGTGTCCCAAATGTGGCAATGGGTACAGCAGCTTTATGTTTGTCGCTTTTGTGTCCCCAAGTAGCACAACGCAAATTTCAATTCTGCGGGAGGGGGAAGGGTTCTCACATTAGTCGCCTCCTACGATCTTTTCTCTATCCCCGGACCTGCAGTGCGGAAAAAGAATTTGTCCAATTGATGAGGCAATCTGCCTATTTATCAAGACACAAACAAGAACATATCACTACAAATAACAGCGTGAAACGGAGGTTCCTCAACAAGTGGTGGTTGGTTATCATGTTTATCTAACTTGAGTTTTCCAATTGTACAAAGACACAAGCTTTACTGAGTTGTCTTTTACAATTTGAAATTAAACTAACTCTACTTGGATAAACATGATAATCAACCATCACATGTTTGGGGATCTTTTCCCCCTTCAACATTCAGATATTATATCTAGAAAAACATGTATTTCTCTTGGGGACACATTTATTCCTGTTTCTGATCGTGGAAACAGTTGTAATGAACTAAGACATCCCATTGGAAGATGATTTGCAAAGCATTGTCAATGACGTCATAATTTTAAGATTATTTCTAGGGTAACCAAAAATGTTTACCAACTCCTCCAGGTTTATCCAATGATATGGGAATGAGGAAACATATACATTGTAATGGTTGTGAGAGAAAAGCAGTTACTGTTCTATATATATATAAAACAAGAGGCCCAGAGGACCTGTATCGCTCACCTGAATATGTTTAAAATAATTGGTATGAAGTTTAGATATAGCACTCCATGGTAGGTGCTGTAAGTACATATGAAATTTCAGAAAGATCCATCCAGTACTTGAGATATAGGAGAACAAACTGAAAACAGAGCCCCACCCCTATGCATACCCACCAATTATACAAAATTGAGTCCCTTTGACCCAAGGATGCTCCAGACTAAATAAGGATAAAATCCCATAATCCCAATGGTTGAAGAAAAATTTTAAAGGTTTTACTTCTTTTTCTCCAGTTGAGCCCCGCCCTTCTGCTCCCTGGGAGACCACACCAACTGCTTATAGAAAATTGAGTTCCCTTGGCCCAAGGATGCTCCAGACTAAATTAGGATAAAATCCCTTAATCTCTATGGTAAAAGAAGGATTTTAAAGGTTTAACCTTTATTTCCCCTATTTAGCCCTGCCCCTCTGCCTCCAGGGGGGTCAGACACACCGTTTAAACAAAATTGTTTTCCTTTCACCCAAGGGTGCTTCATACCAAATTTGGACAAAATCCTGTCATTCCTACAGAAGAAGAAGGATTTTAAAGAATTTGCTATACTTCCCCTATTGGGCCCCTGACCCACCGTTTATACAAAATTGGTTCCCCTTTATCCAAGGATGCTCCACAACAAATATGGACCAAATCCTTACATTCCTACAGAAGAAGAAGGATTTTAAAGAATAATTTGTTATATTTCCCCTATTTGGCCCCCGACCCTCAGCCCCTAGGGGGGCCAGACCCACCGTTTATACAAAATTGGTTCCCTTTCATACAAGAATGCTTCAGACCAAATATGGAACAAATCCTTGCATTCCTACAGAAGAAGAAGGATTCTAAAGAATAATTTGCTATTTTCCCCCTATTTGGCCCCCGCCCCTCAGCCCCCTGGGGGCCAGACCCATGGTTTATACAAAATTGGTTCCCCTTCACCCAAGAATGCTTCACAACAAATATGGACCAAATCCTTACATTCCTACAGAAGAAGAAGAAGAATTTTAAAGAATAATTTGCTATGTTTTCCCTATTGGGCCCCGCCCCTTAGACCCCTGGGGGGCCACAACCACGGTTTATACAAAATTGGTTCCCCTTAAACCTAGGATGCTTCAGACCAAATATGTAACAAATCCTTTTATTCCTATAGAATAAGAAGGATTTTAAATAGTTTGCTATATTTCCCCTATTTGGGGCCCGCCCCTCAGCCCCCAGGGGGCCAGACCCACCGTTTATACAAAATTGGTTCCCCTTGACCCAAGGATGCTTCAGATCAAATATGGAACAAATCCTTTCATTCCTACAGAAGAAGAAGGATTTTAAATAATTTGTTATATTCCCCCTATTTGGCCCCCGCCCCTCAGCCCCTAGGGGGGCCAGACCCGCCGTTTATACAAAATTGGTTCCCCTTCATCCAAGAATGCTTCAGACCAAATATGGAACAAATCCTTGCATTCCTACAGAAGAAGAAGGATTCTAAAGAATAATTTGCTATTTTCCCCCTATTTTGCCCCCGTCCCTCAGCCCCCTGGGGGGCCAGACCCACGGTTTATACAAAATTGGTTCCCCTTCACCCAAGAATGCTTCAGACCAAATATGGAACAAATCCTTTCATTCCTACAGAAGAAGAAGGATTTTAAAGAATTTGCTATATTTCCCCTGTTGGGCCTCGTCCCTCAGTCCCCAGGGGGACCTTTCCCCAAAGATGCTTCAGAACAAATATGGTCAAAATCTGCTCAATCGTTCATGACTAGTAGCGTCCGTCGGACCAGGTGAGCTAAAAAGCACATTATTATGCATCCAGCGGACATTTGTTTGATACAGTTTAAATGATCAAAACAATACATATACATTTATTTGATGTAACTACTATTGGTAAATGTACTGGATCTGAAATATTACTCCTGGTGCACGTTACCTTCTCTGCACCCTTGGAATGTTCATGGCAAAATTGAAGGATTAAGGCTAGCTATTGATTGGTTTCAGGTGTTGTAAAAAAAACCCTGACCAATCGCTAGAAATATACCTGTCATTTGGAGATTTCAGAGGAGCTACACCCAATTGTACAGGCTGTCAATGTTCACAGCGTGTTTCCACACAATTCCTTTCATCTAGATTAAAGACTTAAGGTTTGCCTTCTTGTATTTTCTGCAAAGTGGCGCATCTAGAGCCTTTGATTTTGTCGTGACATACATTCCAAGAGTGTACAAAAAATGCGTATAAGGAGACCGGAACGGCTTGGATTTCAAAGTGTTTTTTTTTTTTTTATCATATTCAAGGTCACAAGGTTCAATGTGTTAAATATTTGAAAAAAACCCACAAGACACCTAGGGTTATAATATGTGGCCAAATGCATGCTGGATGAAGATTTTAAGTTTGATCAAATAAACAACCTTCACCTTTGTTCAAGGTCACTGGGTCTAATCAACTTCTTCTGAATATAACTAAAATGCATGGAGGGTGATGATATTTGACAAGCAGTATTATGATCAATAGACGAAAGGCTATCGTGTTTGTTCCGATGCTTGACTTTAACACACTTTCAAGGTAACGAAGGTCAGATTTGTTTAAACCTATAAACAACTAGATACATAGGATCATGGTATTTGGCCATTTAAAGTGCTATGATATGTGGTGTAAATAAAAATCTTCAAGCAAGTTAAAGCTCCTTATGATGTGACTTAATTGGTAATGAAATATTCTATCGAAAACCTGTAATGGATAAAATAACGATACCTGGCTTATTCAAATAATTGTTTACATGAGGCAAATACGTTATACATGTATATTTTATTCACAGAAAAAGGCGCTTCCTCTAAAATTAATATGCTAGGTTTGTGTCAGGGGTAGTAATATAATACACCCCGTCATGTTTGCCAAAATATCGATCCTTTATTTCAATTATATTTTTTCCCTCTGTGACTGTTCTAAACTTGATGAAAATGCTGGCAGACAATATTCAGAGTTTTTTTATGGACGTTTGTTTTTTATTACGGTAAGGTATATACATTGTACGTATTGCGGTACACTTATTTGTTATACCTGGCTTATAATAAAAATAAGTACGAACTTTTTCAGATAGAAATGATCTAATGTAGACTGATATATCTGAAAGTCAGATGCATCTCCAAATAAAAATGCATATTGATCAAGCCGATGTATAGCAAGGTCACTATGGCCGACTTATCAACTACGTGCTAGTTATGTTTGTATGTGTCATTTTTTATGTGCAGTTTTAGTGTTACACAATACGTTAAAAAAATGTGGAGAAAGTTAAAAAAATAAATATCATGTAGACTTGTCAAAAAGAGGCAATTTGTGATTTTAGTTTCCAACTTTACCCCTCGTATCTTGGAATGGTCTCCAAGCTAACCGTAAGCTCATGTCATATCATGCAAACTATAAAACTTATTAGTGGAAGCCCTCAGAAAGACTAAATTTGCCCTTAGTTAGGTGTATTACTGATGCGAAGGATTGTCTGATCAGTTCAAAAAAGCACGACCCAGTATAAAGGTTACCTAGATTGCGTGTCCTGCACATCATACAGCAGCCTACAGTGAGCAAATGACAAGGATTAGACAAATACTTCGCAGTGTTAAGTCTAAAGGAAACAATAGAAATAAAAAAAATATCTAACTAGGTCGTATGAATATAACCACAAAATATGTGTTTTAATTAACAAGTCATTGCGAGTCATTGTGTTTTTTATGGGTTTTGCTCACCTGGCATAAAAACCATCGACAGCTGTCTGACCTCCCAACGTCAACTATTCATTAAGACTTCTTCTGCCTATCCAAGAGGTCTTAGGTGGTAATATTTCGCAAGTAGCCTGCTGAGATGAAGGTCTTTTTTTAAATAAATGGCCTTGGCATACTTTCCGGGTCTCAGGGATCATGTATAGGACTTCTTCTTAAGAAGCAAGAGCCCTCGGGTGATCTATATGTGATCTACACGTACCAAACCCCCGTCAACAAGGGTACCTAAATACTGTCTTTACCATAATACCGTGTTGTCGTCAACACTTTACCTAAGTATCATCAACCATTAAATCTGTAACTTTTAGTGTGTTACAGTAAATGCTGGTCTTATCAATGTTTCCAATAGAATATTTAACAATACTGACAGGCCATTGTACATTAATCACAGGCGGTGGCGCCAATGCAGTGCCATTCTGCATTTCATATTGTCTACAAACCTGAAATTCAGTAACTTATAACAATAAGAAGTTTTCATTTCAAAATCATTTTATTGTTGAAATTAACAATAGGATTGGGCACAGGCATATACACGCCCTTTCCATATAGAAAGACATACATTTCAAACATATACTGCATATAAATTGAAGATGTTATATATTAAGTGTAGGTAGATCATAACCTGTAGGGTAGGCCGAACCAATGAGCCAGATTTATATATATGTACGTAAAGATTATCAGTCTAATAGCAGGGATATCCGATATGTTAACAAGGTAGATCTAGTGTTTGGTCAGGTTACTTTAAAGTCACTGTCACTACACACAGTGCCATATTTACCAGTTACACTAGAATTGCAAGAAATTAATGATACATAATATGATATGTGGTACATTACAGCTGAAATCTTCCATATTTTTCTATATAATCCGGGACACAAGGAGAACAAATGCATTTGTTTCAATACTTTAATCCATATCTCCCTTTGTGAGAAAATTAGTATATAACATGATATTGTCAATTTCATTAGATAATAAATGGAATAAAATCTGCCTTTCATTTGCATATCTAGGGTAGGCAAGGTAGATAGGTTTAAATTATGATGTATGATATCAGAGTTTTAATTTGATAATGTTAAATGTTCTATTATTTTTAATTGATTTCACTTCGTTCCTTTTTTATCTATTATATGCATCATACAGTGTATTTTGTATCAAATACATTTTTATAGGTCCATGTTTTCCGAGATAATTTTTCTGAAATATTGATCTCCTAAGTAGACAATTTGGTTATTCACTGTGTTAATGCTCGACATCTACTTGTCACTAATAAATCTAGTTATATTGCCACAAACGAAACCAAAACACTACCCCCATTTTGGTGAATTGCCCTAATTTGTAGGAGAAATTGTTTAATTTGATCATTACTTGAAAAACGATTGGTTAAGTGGCAAGAAAGTGAAGTGGAGCATTAAAACACGATAAATAGCCGGGTATTTTATACAAGTTATATGTAGGTATCCAGGGTTTAATTTACTGTAGTGAAGAGTTTATGAAGTCATTTATTAATTCAAGGCATACACATAATTTGAGATTTCGGACGATGATTATCGTTTTAATTTTCTAGAAGATAATGACGGCATGCTTTGTCGGATACCGACGGTCGATTGCACCACTGGTCTTAACTTATGGAAAGTTAAAATAATGAAGAATCTGGCAGACATGTACAGTAAATGTTTTTGTTTTTGATTTTGCTTCATTGAAATCAGAGACGTATAATACAAATCGAAGCTATTACATGTTTAACCCTTTTTTCCCTTTGCATGCAATATTCTTTCCTTTCGTTTTTATTTATTCTAATTATTTCAGATTTATTTATTTTATTATGTTTGGTTTTCTTCGCATTCTACATTGTATATGTATTTCCTTAAATATAACTGATCGAGTGGCTTATATTGTTAGGTTCAGTGACGACATAATATAATATGTCAGTCTATTGCATGCTACCTATAGAGAGTTGTCGCTCTTAGCCTGGTGTGTACATCCGGTGTCACGTTGTTTACATTGGATATCATTCATCTGTTAGCCTATTTACCAGTGCAAGAATGTTTTGCATAGAGGCTGTATAGTGTAGCTGTGAGATATGTAGAGTCAGTGACAGGTATGTACACATTATAACATATATATATATATATTAAATTAGAGTCTGTAGAAATAACAGGGGTTATCAGGGTTAAACACTAACTTTTTTTGCTTGGTAGTCCACAGGACTAGTTGAATAGTTTATTACTGTTCCTTCGTCAATGACAATGTAACTAGGCCTAGTCCAAGATTTCCTTGTAAGGAAACATCGCGATCTACAGCACGAAACATAAAAAGTGATTGACTGTAGTGGACTAAAAATAACTACTGCCATAAAAATATGGTGAAATTTTAGGAAGTTTTTGACAATTATCATGGAATATATCTTATTTTTAGCAGTTTTCTAAATTTCAAAAAGGAATAATCTTATTTTATAGTTAGATATTTCACAACTCCAAAGGACCAGTTAGGTTAGGTGATTCACTAGTCCTTGCTGAAATCTACTAGTCCAGAGGACTATCGACCCCTGGTTATAACTGATTCTTTTAACCTACTCTGTTCCCCAAATGTGATAGTATTAATTAGGCTAATTGACGATCCAATCGTTTCACTAAAAACCGTGTGTGCATAAACCTCGATCCCTCTAATCTTTAAACAAAATCTCAGACTAGAGCATAATTAAGTGTTAGTCTTGCTCAAGTCCGATTTTAAGGGCGTTCACAAGTTGTTTTTGTTGGATCCTCAGTTTAAAACATGGGGTTCGGGTAGGTAGTTTATATCTTTTCTAAGTATAAACCTATATTTTATTCGCAAGAAACTATAGCAGGGCCCTTTATTCCACCAGATCCATGTATTACGTACGATGCGGAGATTATAAAATTTTACATATCTGATTCGATATGACCGTAGCCTGCATGCGGGGGAGGGGCCCAGTACTTAGTATAGTACCGGGGCAGATTATAGGCTCAAAATGACCGACACTGAAAACAAAACTGTTGATTATGTAATTATAACAATCATCTGCGAGAGTTAATTCCCCTTAATTGATTGTGAATGCCACATGCCTACGTAGAGAAAGACTGCTATTTTACTTACATACATAGTCATTCCTTTCCATCATAAATACATATATATAGTGCTTACACGAACAGCTACGGTTATATATTTCCTCACTACGTACCTTTATTCACATTTTCTATCTATTCACTTGAACTCAAATAATCAAGATGATTTTTTTTTTTTAATCAAAATTAGCCTTCGGTCAAACAAATAATAAATCAGGAGTGCGGTAATTACCGAAACCGCTTTCAGATCTGATTGTAAGACCCTAATACACTCAGTGGCGGATCCAGGGGGGTTTCCATGGTTTCCGGAAACCCCCCCAGCATTTTTAGACAAAAAAAAAAAATCCCAACAATTTTTTTTCTCAATTTTTTTGGTTGTTGCTGTGGTAAACCGACAGTAGATCTACCGGAGTACCACTGCAAAGATTTTTTTGGGGGTTTCCGGAAACCCCCCTAGCATTTTTTTTTTGCCAACCGATGTTGCCGTCCCGGAGTAGAACACTGGCAGCATCAAGAGTTATTGCCCTTCGAAAGAAACTCTTCATTTACTGAACAGGGAACCGCCATATTTGATTTTGTTATTTGCAAAATGGTACGTAGTCGGCAGAAGTTTTCCAGCAAAGATGCGAAAGGCGTATCGGCGATCACCAATTTTTTCAGACAAACAGGTAAGGTCAAATGAGATCTTCATAATCATGTATCTTGATATAAATGTGCAAGCGCGCGTGATCAGGTAACGATTTGTACAAATCTGCCGAGGTATGGCTTCACAAATCATGCATTTTGACCCGTGTTCTATCTGATCTATTTAATGTTTTAGATTATTTTCGTGTTCGGATAAACACTTGTATGCGTCACATTAACAGATTGTTCATTATTTCGATAACAATAGGTCGCTGTTTATTGATAAATTGATGATGCAAGTTGCAACGAGTTATGATAGCTCCGTAAACAACTCGGATAATCGGCGTCCGATTAGACGTGTTTTATAAAGAATATTTACAAACAAGTACTCGAAATCATTACAAAAAAACATTTCTTTTAAAGTTATTGCCAAAAATTATGCATATTTATAGATTTAATTGGTCACAACGGCACCAATGTGGCGTATTGACTCAATCGTTATTGGCTGGACTGAATATAGAAGGCGCTATATAAGTATATTTAGAGCTCGAACCTGTCCATTACTTTAAAAAAATTATACAATACAGAATAGGTAGGCCTATTGTTTCATTTAAAACGCTTGAATTCACTACTTAGTACATTGTGATCTTGTTATAATTCACCGCCATAATAGGAAACAAGTCTTCACTATTGTTTCCTATTTTATTTGGGTCTTAAGTGTTTTTTTATTTAATTTGTTTTGTTTTTGTTTTAATTTTTCCTTATCTATATTCACTGGCTTCGTATCCTGTTTTTTTTTTTTTTTTTAAATGTTATCTTTCTCTAGTAAATGAAAAATAACACTTTTATCGAATAGATATTTCTCTATACTATATATATTTCACTGGTAAAATGTAATAAAATAAAATTATTTAGTGATAAAATGTATGCGAAGTAAAACAAATAATTTTTATATCATCACATAAAGGTGTACCAAGATCCATACTTTTTCTTTCTTATGTTTGTAACTTGGTTGAATGTTCTAGCCTATATATGTTTGTAAGTGTATATGAGTGTGTCTTGTTGAGCTATGTATTAAATTTATGACCGGAGAAGACTTATATAGGCTTAAAGTTTCCATATTTACCTCAAGGTAAAGTTTACGATGAGATGTCACACTTCTTAACCCCGATATAATTTTCATAGCTTCAATTTGAACAGATTCAAGCATACTAAATTCTCCAATGGTACAGTTATTCCAGATAACATCACCATACTCAAGCACAGGTCTTATATAAGAATAGAATAATGTTTCCAATGATTTTCTATCAATTTTATATTTAGGCATTCTCAATATGTTTAGTCTAATACAAGCTTTATTAAAAATATCATGAATATGATCCCCCCCATGTACCTTTAGAATTAAAAAGTAACCCTAAATGTTATATATAGGCTAAGCCTGTTGTCTCATCCAATTTTTCATTTTTTTGTCCAATAAAATTTGTTGAAATCCATACTGATTGATTGGTCATTCCCTACCTACAGAGTTCTCCAGGACATCCTAACATATATTGTTTACAACAACAAAATATCCCCCCCCCGCAAAAAAAACACCCCAATTGATAATGATATTGCAGTTCTTACAGTAATATATGTCTTACTGATGTGTACCAGCAGACTGGTTATTACATTGATTGAAATATTATAATAAAGAGGCTTAATAGTCTGTTTTCTTAATTGTTACTATATACATATATATTATTCTTTCAGATCATACAGCATCCTTATGTCATCCCGAAGAAAGTCGAACGTCGCGTACGTCAGAAACACCAGACATTGACACATCAGACACCTCCTCATGTCAGCCAGAATCAGCTTGTATGCTGGATTCCTTCAACTGCCCTGGGTCTATAATTACCACGACAGAAGTCAGCAATATCCCATCAGCCTCATCAGGTAATTAAAAGCATAACCAATTTATATGATTATGTTGCACAAACACAGATGTTTCAATAAATAACCAAACAAAGCAGAAAATGCTATGTAGTGATAAATGCAACATTGCTCTAATAATTAGTCACTTTCCATTTAATCAGAACACATCGGTTGATATGATATAATTAGTATTATAGTATAGATTTATCAAATAAGAAGTCGCATAAATGCCATGTATAAATGTATTGTTATTGTAAGACAAATAAATGTCAATGGTTCAGGTTGTTTTGATGATGTATATGTGCCCATTATGTGGATAAACATATATATGTTAGCAATAATTATATGATATATCCTGAATATATTTTGTGTTAAAAAAAGTCTTCCCATGTTGTAAAAAAGACATTTGTATGTCCCCATCTTATGTTTTAGCAAACTTATTAATTAAAATACTATTTACTTCAACTAATGTACAGTCTTTAATTTGCAGGTTTTGGTATTACCAGTGTTGAAGCTACCAGCGTATGTGATGGCAGTGACCGGGATTTGTTTAAATACATAAACAGAGTTTTAAGTAGAGAGGACATATATTTATTGTTGTCTTGTGTAGTGTTTTTATTGAGGTCTTTTAAAAATATTAATTGGTTTCTTGTGTAGAGTATTTATTGAGGTCTTGTTAAAATGTTTATTGATGTCCTGTGATAGGATATTTATTGAGGTCTTGTTAAAATATTCATTGTTTTGTGTACAGTATTTATTGAGGTCTTGTTAAAATATTCATTGTTTTGTGTAGAGTATTTATTGAGGTCTTGTTAAAATATTTATTTTTTGGTGTACAGTATTTATTGAAGTCTTGTTTAAATATTTATTGATGTCATGTGTGAGAGTATATGTTATACATTGAGATGATGTGAGAATGACTGAAAGTAATTAAATGAGATCTTGTGAGAATATTTATTGAGGTCTTATGATAGAGTATTTATAATATTGTTATATTTGGTGTTAAGAGTGTGTATATGTGAAAATGTTTGAGGATACATGAATGAATGTTGGTGTGTGGGTGTTAGTGGGTGTGTGTGAGTGAAAGAAGGATGTGTACATTTTCTTCATTTTAGAATTCATCCTTGATTTATTAAAACATTCTGAATGTCAATTACTAGTTTGGTTGTTATTTGATGATTCCATGAACAATTGATGTGAAGCCACTAAGAACTTGAAGCATATACTAAAGCTATACAAAGTCTTAAGATAAGCATTAATTACTTACATAAAAAAGGTCATTTTTATTACTGTAGCATCTTTGTATAAACTTCCAGAATGCTTCAAGTAATTTTGGTACTGTCAATTTTGATGCAAAATTCATATAAAACAGACAAATTTAATAAAATGTGAAGGCAGATTTTCAGTGGCCAGAGAGCACCATTTCACACTTAGGAATAAAAAAAAATCCGGGGGGGCATGCCCCCGGACCCCCCTA